TGTGAGTTCATTTAAGTGCTGTCTGGGAGGCTGTGCTGCTCCTGTGCTTGGCAGGAATCTCCAGACTAATACCTAAGAGGATTAGAGAGCATCGCTGAGTGTTAACCGAGATCCAGGCTAAGTGGTGTGCACCAGTGAGCTTGTGCTCCAGGGGCTGTTTGGGGAAGCTGTTACTTGCTGATGTGGAAAAAAAGCAGGCTTGTGTGGGAAATGTTCTTTCCTTGGCTGGATCCTTCCTGTACTTTCTGTTTCTCTCATGCTCCCACTTGACACAGTTTCAACCCTCTGCCCATCTCATGGACTCGTGTGCTCTGAGGTTGGTGAATGTTGCAGGGGATGCTGATGATCAGCAAGTTTCTCTTTTCCATGATGCATTTAGCTGTTCTCATGTGAATGGTTTTTTTGAATGGTTGACAGTGGAAATGGGGGTAGTGGTCCCAGAGTATAAATAGTTCTGACTCCAAGTTCACTTGTGGTTTCGCTTTTGCTCTTATGATCAAGCCAAAAATAGATTCCTGATAGCCTGGAAGAGGAGGGCAGCCTGGTGTAACACATGAATGCATCATTCAGTGGAAAGAAAGTCAGATGAATGAGATATCTCAATGAAAAGCCTGTTATCCAACAGCAATGCAAGAGAAAAGCCTGTGGAAAGGCTTTGCTACTCCAGCAGTGACTGTTGTCCTTTGTTTATGAGGAAGATGCAGTAATTCTGCATGATATTAACATGCCACCTACCACAGAAGGACCTCATGTTATTTGTGCCAAATCCATCTTTTTGTGGCATGGCTTCCACAAAGTTTCATGGTATCATTTCCTCTGGTTTGCCCTTTTTGTTTTTACCTTCATACTGATCAAACCAAGAGGATGAAAAAGAGTAAGTTCCTGTAAACCACAGCAGATTGTCAGCGATATTTTATTATATTGTTTTCTGCATCCTTGCATTGCATAACACAGGATGCTGCATTTATTTTTTCTTGCATTTTTATTGCTTCTATCTTTAGAAGCAGCAGATAATTGTCTCTCATGTTCTTCATTTGGGTTTTGCTCATTTGGCTTCATTTCTTATATAAGATTTGCCTGAATCTGCATCTTCTGCATAGAAAGACAGAAGGGATAACGATAGGAACTAACTGGTAATCATTGGGAAAAGCTAATGACTCATGCAGGAACATTATCCTGTAGGGTAAATGTCCTTAAATAGGTTGTAAGAATCCAAATGTTGGAAAATAATGTCTATGGTGTGGAGAGGGCTGGAAAAGATGCTGGTGATGGATCTGCATTGGAAGAGCCACAAAGACTTCATGGGCAGGAGCAGCGGCTGGAAACTTATGGGTGGGAAAAAGATCTTCAAGCAAGAATGACAGTAGGGAGAGGGAGTTAGGTATTAGAGCATAAAAGAACCTTTTGTCTGGCTAATCTTTGCAGCAGCAGAATATACTGGCCCAGTTAAATCTTTCAGAGTTGGCACTGCAAGTTTTTGAAGATGGTCTGAGGCAGCTGTGGCCAATTCTATTTGCACAGATAAGCTGGAACAAATAAGTAAGCTCAGAAAATCTGGGTAGATTTATCTTCAAAGCAGTTTTCAAGCAGCTAATTGAAAATTATCCAAGCCACCTTCCTGATTTCTTGCATATTATCGTATTAATTTGCCTGCCAATGGTTAGTGCTTGGAGAACATACAAAGGAATTTGTCAGTGCTAAGCTTTACTACTTGGAATGTATTTAATTATAAATGTGTCCTTGTTCATGTGATAGTTTAAAGGCAGTTTCTACTTCTCTCTCCCATGCTTCAGACTCTGGTGGGATTAATCATGAAACAACACGTCTCTGATAGGAGAAGGGGCAGAGTATTCCTATGCCCCCCTGCTTCTAGGTGTCTCCTCTGCACTTCAGCTGTCCCTGCAGCACTGACAGTGAGCACAGCATTGGATGTGTAGTCACCTGGCTGCTCTTTAGGTGTGTTTCTCTTTCCTGAAACATTTCCAGGACTTGGATTTGTCTCACTTTTGGGATGTTTCCCCCTTCCTAAACCAGGAATTGGATTACACTTATCAGCTATGACAGAAGTAGTACTGATAATCCTCTGAAGCCAGACTATCTGAAAAAAGCTCAGTATATGTTACCAAGAGAAATTAAATGTACAAACCCAGATGAATTAGTCCCTTTTTGGAGTAACATGAGCTTGGCACTGGGGGTTGGACTTTCTCAAAGTCAAAGTATCTATTTAGTAAGGTCAGACTCTCTCCCACATGGAGGAGAATAACAGGCTGCCTAGCACAGCCCCCAGGCATCCCCTGGGGCTGCTCCTCCCTGGGTTACAGTAGATTTTCTGATCATTTTTAAATCCCCCATTCCTGTCCTGTAGCAGATATCTCCATGGATGCCATAGAATTGAAAAAAAAATGATTTAAGTCTGCTCATAAACCATAAACTATGGAAAGCAGAAGTTATGAATAGATGTTATTTGCCACAATAGTAACCTATAAAAGTCAAAAATCTTATAGTGAAAGGGAAGATTAACTATTATTGGGCATGCTTCAACAAATGGGATTATTTTGCATGTCAGTTATGAGTTAATTTGTAACATTAATCTAATCACAGTCCTTGGCAGAGACACAAAATGTTTTTAATTGGTCCTGTGACTTTTTAAATGATCACCTGATGAAAAGCTCACAAGTTTTACTACTGATTTAATGCTAAATATTAGAGGAGGGAGAAGTCTTTACAAATGTCATCACGAAATACAAATCATAGGCTTTCATTGCCTTACTGCTTTTGTTGTGTTGACTCAGTAGTGTTGGCAGTCTGGAACCAGCTGTACAGCTGGAAAAATTGAGTTAAAATCTTGCAGCAAACAGAGTAAATCTATAGCTGGGAGATAATAACATTGGGACTGGTTCGATGTAAGCAAGAAATCACCAGCTGAGTCATTAAAAACAGAGATGAATGGGAAACAATAAATGGATGGCTCAGATGAATGAGAGTGATTAGGAAATGGTGAAGTTGGTTGGGTTTTTTTTTCCCTAAAGATTATATTTTGTCATTTAAAGTGGCATATGGCTCCTGTGAAAGCTAATATTCCCAGGGAATGTGTCACTGTCAGTTTAGATGCATTTGGAGAGA